AGCAGCTAAGCTATGTCCCTTTCATACATGCAGGCGGCTTATCCTCCCCTCGGATTTTCCCTATATACTGCTATAGGTGAACACAGCCTGCATCGGGAATGCTTCAAAAAATTATGCCTTCAAGGTTTTTTGTGGAAGGGAGCTTTTCTAGTCTTTTAAGTTTCCCGAAGACATTACAGGATGTTTTTGGATGAAGCTGCTGCTACCGACATTAATGAAAACTGCATTTGAAGTTGCTTAGTATGAAAATTTAGTAGCTGTCCATCTGTAATATCGATGACTGTGTACGCTGTAAATGTGCATACACAGCTCTATTAGGGACAGCAAGAATAACACCAGTCCGGAAAGAAACAAGCAGGATATGTGACAAACAATTTCGCGTCTATGCCAAACCAAAAATCCTTGGAAAATCCTGGTGTGTTATCGCAACGCAACAAAAATGTTCCATCCTGGGTTACGTCGCGTAGAATCTCTCCAATATGTGTTACTTCAGTGAATTACCTCATTGCATCTGAAACAAGTGACATGAGTTGTGAGACAGAAAAAAACACCAGTTGCTTTGCTACCATCACCACATTGAGATCTGAACACAATTATTTTATCATGATTGTGCTCAGACTCGCACATGACGGCGCTTATTGGCAACCAAGTAGAGCACCCTTTCGACAATGTAAAGTGAGACCACAGTCAACTACGGCAAACGTTTTACGAAATGTGAATATTCTATTAGATCGTCATAAATTTGTAGGCGTTGGCGTAAATTGAATCCTGGGACACTAGCACCTTCCTTGAGGACTTACTTGGTAGTCCTCCCCCGAGGACGTCTTGGTATTACCTCTCCCGAGGACTTCTTGGTAGCACCTTCCCAGGGGACTTCTCGGCGACAAGGGGAGATGACTAGTAGGTTGGTCCAGGCACTTTGCTGATGGTGTTCGTGCTCGCCAATTTCTGTAGCTCTTCCTTGACTGTTAGTGAGATGTCTTTTTCATTTACGTCTAGTATCAGCTTTCCAAGATCGTCCAGACCCGTAAACGCATCTCCGAAGTCTTGTCCGTACTTTCCCCTTGGTCAGCTTTTTCATCGTGAGTACTGCAATGTTGCTGTGGCACACTGTGATGAGCTTCATCTTTAGGCTCGTTGGCAGCCTCAACAATGGCACTTGCGCACTCTGCACGACCACGAACTCTTCTTTATAGCTTTAGACGTTGCTGGTCTTAGATCTGTATCATCGCACAGTTCATCACTGGCAGTGTCATGCCTCCATAAGTGGTAACGGTTGCTTTTCTGTTGTGAACCTTTTCTGTTCTGAATTCGTGATGTTGGAGCCAGCTGCTTGTGTATGGTGCTGCAGGTGGCACCTAAGTCAACTTGCATGTGAACAACCTGCTAGTTGCCCAGGATGAAGCTGGTTATGACTTTCTTGGCATGCGCTTCTGGATCAAGAGAACCTCCTCATTCACATCTTCATGTTCAAGCCAATGCACACTGCGTGTTTTATGTTGCCTTGATTCACTTGACCTGGTATCTTACCCTGTAGCTCCACTTGGCTTGAACCTGGTCTTTTCTTTTCTTGACGCAGCATTTGTGCCTTTACTTTCATGCATTTTTGCAACGTGGTTATATTTTTCAAAGTTTCGGCTTACTTTGTTCGCTACGGGGCAGTATGTCTCCTTGTCAGTATGTCTCGGCAAACGTGTCTTTCTCCACAATGCTTGCGCTGCTGCCTGCGTGTTCCAAAGCGACCTTGAACAAGTGGACTTGTGGCGGCAGCTCCTGTCCGATATGTGGCATCTGCTGTTGTGCGATGGCTACTGACTTGCAGATTATGACGCATCTTTCAAATCCAGGCGAGATTTTGGAGCAATCGCAAAAGCGCACTGGAATCTCATGGTTCACATGTGACGTCATCACTGGGGCTTTACCACGCACATAGCTGCTGAGGCTATATGTTGTCGCCTGTCTCCCACCCTGGCAGGATGGGTGGCCACCTCGGAAAATCGAACCCCGTGCATTTGGTTTCCAGGCATATAGTGGTCAACTATCGGCACCCTAGTTCGCGTATGAGTTGACCTTGAAGTGAGCTATAGGCGCAGCTGGCAGAGCTGCATTACAGACTTACCATCCAAGTCTCCGTGAAATAAGATAGCTCTCAAATGACTCACCTTCGGGTGGGGTGCGCTGGTTGACAGTGGACCTTTCAAAGATCACCTTTGTTGAAACCACACAAAATGCTTCCATAACCACGATAGCCTTGAACTGCCTACCGCTGTCTTCAGCTAAGGTGAATGACAGAAAGTCATGTGCCATCAGGGCGTCGGGGCACCTGCATGGGACGAACCTGGCCACCTGGTAAGGTTCGGTTTTGAATGGCTAGTCTGTAGTGCTAGCATACGCATCCCACAGCTGTTTGCAATAGTTCCATTCTTTGTCGTACCCCCTTGTATTTTAGAGGGGGCGGCAGTGGCGCATCGGTCATCCTGGCAAAAATCGCAGCTGGAATACCTTGAAAAGTCGGCGAAGAGGCTGGCGATAGGTGATTAGGCTGCGTCTCGAACGCCAGCCTTCAGAAACTAAACAATGGGCGTATCTCCACATGAATGAGGCGTCTTTCAGACGTCAGATTTGTTACATGTGAGAACGGACATGGAAATGCTACGACATGAGCGATTCTGACATCACGTAACGGTCGGCGACAACACGGATAAATACAGCGTGCGTCGGCCACGCGCATCTTATATTGATGTGACGCGTACAAGGTGAGGATTGACTCGGCATGATAAACGCTGTGACGTCACCAGTGCTGATACACTGAGTTCATGACCAGTGCTCTAAGGTCAAAATGATAGCTGAAGTAAGTTCCGTCACGTTTGTTGTATAGAAACGGGATGACGAGTAGCGGAACTAACGTTTTGAAGAAGTGGAGTAACAAGCTATCCGACATTTTTACTAACGGTGCCCACATTGCGTGCAATAATTTACATATAAATGATTGGAGAAAGCTTGGTTGTACATAGTTCGTTCCATCCCTTACATGCGTCGTTTTCTCCTCTGAAGCACCTTTCGTGGGTTATATGGACGGAAAGGTAGACTGGCATGCGACCCAAGAACATCTGCATACATGTACTTTTATCATATCAGTGTGTCTTTGTTATAACATGGCAGCATGGGTACAGTGTTTCTTAAATTAATTCCGATTGTAATAGCCCCACTCTGCAACCAGCTGCCGTTGTCTCTCCGGCGATCAATAAATCGTTGGACTGGCATCGCCGCGTGATACCGTGCTGGATTTTGTCATGTGGTGAGTATTCGATACAACACTGCCTTTGCAGGCGAGTGTAATTTACTGCAAACTCTTGGGCAGAGTTCGCCACAATCTTGGTGGCAGGTGAGGCTCGCACCACTTAAACTAATCAAGTAAGTTGCAGCACATAATGAAACTTTACCAAAAATGTTGTAGATGCAGATGTCATCAGTCGTGCTAATTCTTATCATGCAACGCCGTAGGCTTAGCGTCAATCTTCTGGAATGCTGATGTTAACAATAAACACAAGTGAAGACATTTAACAGTCAAGTTACACCAACGCCAATTCACCGTTCGTAGTCTAGACTGAAAACATTTCTGAAGCATGTCCACATGTGCAACCAAGGCCTTTCTTAACGAAGACAATGACCGGCCACACGGGCTTCAACTAATTTAAAATGTAGGCTCGTATCCAACGTATGTTATCGCATCGTTACACGCTGACGACCGTCGGAAGGATCGAGTGTCCAGCACCATCCAAAGTAATTTCATTTAGCAGACTAACCACATGAATCAGCTCGACTTCCTTCTGACGATCCGCGGCCAGTCAGGTGACACTCCCTGAAATGTACATCATGAGGGCTGCGGGACCCACCCTTGAGTCCCGCGGCAGCTCTGCGGGAGCACACAGCCGCAATTCAGAGCGACAGTGGGTGTAGCACCGGGCCAGAGCCGCGGCAGCTCTGCGGAGTGTACACAGCCGAAGCTCAGAACGGCAGCGGGTGTAGCACTGGTCTGGAGCTGGCCTCTGCCGATACGTCAAGCTTTGCTGTGCATCGAGCTCGGCACAGCACTAAAGGGAACGCTCTGACGGACCCGGTTGGCCGGGGTCCTGATGAGAGCTCTGACGGACCCGGCTGGCCGAGCGCCTGGTGAGAGCTCTGACGGACCCGGCTGGCTGGGGTCCTGATGAGAGCTCTGACGGACCCGGCTGGCCGGGTGCCTGGGGAGGGTCGATTTAGTAATGTGTGGACGAGATCAGCAAATATTTGTGGCACAATTAAAGTGGTAAAAGCATAACCATCTCTAAACAATAGACAAGTCTGTGGTAAAATCACATAAGCGCTTATCATTTACGGTAGACGAATTAAACCGTGCTTAGAGTACAACTAGTTTTGCAAAATGAACCACTTTGAAATGTATAAACGCATCAATAAAGCAAGAGAAGCAAAGATGATTTGTGACTAGTTCACAGTCTGTGGACTGAGTGTCGCGATTTCGGTCTATGACCCCCATCACTCAAGCCGCGCCAGCTGCCGGACCGATGCAATCTCAAGAATCTTAAATAATGCCTATCTCACTGCAGGAAAGTGGCGTTCGCTGCTCATGCCAGTCGACGGCCAGCCGCGGCGCAAGGGCATTCACCGCCCAGCAAAACTGCGCCGCGATTTCAGACAGGCGACCGAATTTCGTGGCAGCTGAGACCTCTTTGCATCTGGGCGACAGTTGCAACGACCTCTGGCGCCGACTGGGTGCGGGCCGGCCGGCCGGGACGTCTCTGGGTCAGATGCCGCGTCGGATGGCCGATGGAAGTGGGCCGCCCGCCGTCTGGGCAGTCGGCCGGCGCCTGCTGGCTGCAGCGCGTCCAGTGCGCAGCCGTCGGCGCGCTACGGACCGCTGCCGGCGTCGCCGCCGATCAGTCAGGTGCGGCCGGTCGACGCGCGGGGCACCATCGCGAGCGCCCGGGCCACGACTGAGGCGTCGCGCGCCGCAGAGGTCGCGACAGGAGCTCGGGCGGGGCCGAAGCCGCGGGCGGTGGCGGCACCAGGTCAGTGGCTTCTGCGTGTCCGCCGGCCGGGACGCGGCGGCGGGGCCCAAGTGCAGGGTCGCGGAGTACGCTAAGCACGCCGTGGTTCTGACCAGTTGGGCCTCTCGCCAACTACCGTGATCTTTTTTAGCGACAGGGTATCACAAGGTGCAATTACTCTCCAGATATTTCGCAAGGCTGAGAGGGGGTTTTGGGGCTGTGTGGCCAGTTCTGAAGACCTTGCGCCAGTATGCCACCCATTAAAGCTGAGGATAACGATCAAGTCCATTCGAGGCAGAGTGACTTAGAAAGGAATAGAGTCCAGCTATCCCTATATTGAACACGGCTCCGGCGACGCCAGCGCCCGCTCTGTTTTGAGCAGATTTGGGTCTGCCAGTGATAATGAGGACTCCGCAAAGCTCGCAGGGTTGTTTATTAAAGGTGTGGAGGTCGCAGTGCAAATATTCTGTTAATTTCGATTAAGGTGGGCGTGGCTAACAGGAGCACGTCCTGGCTTCGGGACGAGAGGTGTGGTGCTTTGACCAGCGCATTGGACTCCCAAACGTTCTTGGGTGGTCTGGCCAATATCCAGTCTTGCCTAGCTTTAGCTTGAATGTTAAGTAGGTGGAACAATATCATGGATCATTAACATCAATGCATAAGGAGGGATCACGCGCACTTTCTTGGTCATACGTACGCCCATTGGCCCATAGGACTAATCAGTGATTAGTGGGCTCAGAGGCACGGAGACTGGCACAGTCGTTCTGCGCTCCCGATGTTACCACTGAACGTTACCAAAGCAGCAAGTATTAAGTGGGCAAGTATCTTCACAGAACACTGAGGTTGACTTTGTGACATGTTTCAAAGTTGATGTGCCTCTCCCCTCACGACTGAGCGGTCGTTGTGTCGTTTTGCGCCTCGCGCCGGCTGTGCGGCCGCTGGTGGGCTCTGCGGGGTCGCCTGGCCAAGTCCGAAGGTGACACCCAAGAGATTTGGAATGGACCGACGCAGCTGGAGAACAGGGATCGAGCAGCAGGCCCGGATACCGATCGGAGACTTGGAACCAGCTCTCTGGCGGCCCGGGAAAGTCAGATATGGGCAACAAATCCCGAGAGGAGAACGGAAAGTCGATTGGTGGCTGCCGAATACCTCGGGGGCTAAATGTGAATCGAAGAAGCTCAGCCGTTGCCAGAGGCCATCATTTAGGCAAGAAGGAAATTGGGCTAGGCTGAAAATTGGAAACAGAAACGATGCGAACACAGACTAAAATGAACCGTATAATTCGATTTGGCTGGGACCATAGAACCGATGGGGGATTTAGAGTGGATTCCAGTCGGAAGGACGTGGCTTCTATCTGGTGGTAATTCGTTCTTTTCTGGGCAGTAGTCAGCTTTTAGTCATCCTCGCAAAGCACGCTGCGGCCGTTGGATAATCGGCTCCATGTTAGACGCAGACCGGTCTTATAAATTGGTCCGATATGTAGGCGGTATGAATGGCTCTAACCCCACAAGCATACCATGTGAGTGGCTAAAGGGCAATAACATGGGGCGATCACGTAAATCAGTAGGTCTGAGCCAATGTTTGTTCATTTCAACGTGCGGTTCAATGTTCAGTTTTTTCATGTGTCATTGGAGCCTTACGACGCACTTAGCTGCTGGGGCCATATGGCGTCGCCTGCCTCTCACCCTGGCAGGAAGGGCGGGCATCGCGCGGAGCCGAACCCCGTACCTCTGGTTTCCCAGACGCGCAGTGGTTAACGCAGACGCGTTAACCACTTCACTGCCAGCACTCCCGCTCAATTTGGTCAACACCAAATCCACATTATTCCAAATCCACAGTCCGCATTAGGCCGTAAAAACGCTTTAACTTCAGCCTGGAGTACGTCACCTCCATTGCCCATTTTTCAAGTTCGCTCTATTTCGTAAGCGCAAAATGCTTGAACGAATGATATGAGCACACCGAGGGTGTTCAGTACCTCCTGTCTGTATGTACGGAACGCTGAGTCCGTCTGGTATGCCGCTTCAGCCACGACCTACCATTAGACCATGCGGCTTCAGAACCCCAACAATGGGACTGCGAAAAATTGAAAAGCAATTGATAGGCTTATTGATAGGCCACCCATCGTCAGGTGTCAATATGCTGGCTCTTATCAAACGCATAATCGATGGTGCTACATGTCATGTAAAATTTATAAAAAAAACGCCACGAAAAAGTATTGTTATCCTTGGCCTCATGTATCGCAAATGCGATTGGTCGCATGCGTTTGAAACTACCACCAAACAATATTTTTTGACGATCTCAAAACGTAAGGTCGCAAAAGATAAATGTCACTGTGTTTGCGAACTAGACCCAGGTCAGGTCAAGGCGTATGGGTTCGCAGCCCCATTTCTGAGGGACGGGAACTGCGGGCTGCTCTTGCAAGCGTCACCGCCTAGTCGGTACCAATTGTAAGCCCTGCACAATGTGTTCGATCTCCCGGCCAAATTTACTCGCAGATCGACCGTTAAAGCCGTTGTCTGGACATCTCTGGCGTGACTTGATATGGCCTGTGCCGGTTAGCTGAAGAGACTTCACTTGTTACTGTGAGCTTCATTGCAGGATGGCATTAACAGTGCAGGCAGACTCCTTCTGTCATGACGTCAGAGCAGTATTTTGCCTCGACAAACTACAAGAGAAGAATGTCCACATTAAACTGCATCGTTGCAGGTCGTTTTGGGTCTTTATTTTCTACTTGACTGGCGCGGTACAATAGTCTGTGACAACAGCGGAAACTTACTGCTGCCTCATCAGGTACAAGACAGTACTTGATGAAGCAGCAGTAAGTTATCTCCAGTAAGTGCATACTTCATTAGTTCAACGTCGCACCACGACGTTGAACTAATGAAGCCTATCAACGCGAGGAAGGTAGCAGCGATCCTTACTAGAATATGGAGAACAATTTACCTGGCGTCTCATAAAAATATTCATCGGTGAATTGTGGTATATGGAGAAATCATAGTGTGATGGTGACATTAGTGCATACGGCGCCCATATATGCTGGAGAGGTTTCAATTTTTGGACCCTGTAATGTTTTGTCCGAAACTTTGTCACTTTTAATTTGGCGAGAACGCATGCTCATCCCCGCTGCGGTCGTCCAATTTTCAAGTCCGCTTGGTTGAGGTGATAAAGGCGCCTGAATGAAGAACATTTCCATACCAAAGTCACAATAACCCGACATTGATTTTAAGGGAAGCGGCTTGCAGAAAATGAGGGTATCACTCCCGATTTTCCCGCGATTGTTACAGAATTGATTGACAGTGGGGCTCGCGGAGCAGGTGCGTGCATTTTGCAATGCACACCGGATGTGATTTTCGGCGAGAACATGATGCAACATCGCAAAAGGTCCTCAACGCTGCTATCAAACGTCAACCATTTTCGTGGATCCTGAACACAAGAAATATAGTACATTGCATTGAAACACCGTGCAAAGCGAGTAATTAAGCGACTAACATTATCTGCTAAGATTTAGAACGAGCAAAGACACTGGTATAGGGTCAGGAAGGGTGTGCGGAGAACACAAATTTCAACGTAAAAGTACTCGACAGACCAGTATGAAGGGAATCACGCTCATTGAGTCTATGAATCATTCACTATGGAATCATGAAGCGGATAACCAACATAGGCCCAAAACAGACAGGCATGTGTTTTGTGTTCACGGGCCTATGATTTTGCACTGTCGCGTTCTGCTTGACGCTTATGTCGCCATACAAATCAGGTGAAATAAAACAACTGTATTGGGATTAAGCTCGCTTGTGATGTCCAATGCATCTCGAGATATCTCGTACATAGGTTGCTGTGTCCTTCCCTTTTTCTGTGTTTAAAAAACAGTCACCGTTTGTTCTGTAAAACCACTGTCAAGTAGTTTCAGAACAGGCATGCTCTCTGAACAAAATATGAATGATGAAGACTAGTAGTAGTTGTTGCGTTGCGAGTGGCGGACAGGAATGTTTTCACACGCATAATTGCGGGGACAATCGCGTAGATCAGCAAATTTTAAAAAAGGCTTCTGAATGCACAGTTATACATATATCAAAGCGTTTCGAGAGATGACACAGTGATACACAGGGATGTAAAAGTCTCAGACCGGTAATTTGTAACTGTTCAGGCCTACATGGGTTTGTCCAAGTCCACGCAACTGTTTAAAAAAATCATATATATATATATATATATATATATATATATATATATATATATATATCTCTCTCTCTCTCTCTCTCTCTCTCTCTCTCTCTCTCTTCTCTCTCTCTCTCTCTCTCTCTCTCTCTCTCTCCTACTCTCTCTCTCTCTCCATCTCTTCTCTCTCTCTCCGAGCGCTATGCTCTACATCTACTACTCTCTCTCTGCTCTCTCTCCTCTCTCTCTCTCTTCTCTCTCTCTACACTTTCCTCTCTCTATCCTTCTCTCTCTCTCTCTCTCTCTCTCTCTCTCTCGTCTCTCTCTCCCTCTCTTAAACTCATTCCGAGGCTAGATGCATTGAAATACATGCATACTTTCAACACAACGTTTTTCCAATTACATCAAGTTTGCTTGTCATGCGGGCGCTAGCCCAAAACCCAGCCCCCGTCAGAAGTCAAGTGTAGTGCCGTAAACAAGTCACAAAAGCAAGCACAGCCTGCCACCAAGGGCATACAGACCGTCGAGTTTGTGCTTGGCCGGATGTGCCTCGACAGAGCCAGGCTTATTTTTTAGCTTTGCTCTTGACTAGGAGCGCAAGCCTCCCTCATTACGCGGATAGTCGTGACGCAAGCTCCCCTCGCCGAGTGCACTTAATGCTGGCGGTCAGGGCATAACATTACGGACGCGAGCGTGCAAACAGCACGTGCGTCGGAAGCGTTTCGAAGCTCGTCGATCGTGGTGACGGGCCTCACGCAGCCAGGCCCTTCACAATTGAGGAGGTGGTTGGGATCGATGCGACGCGATTGCTTTGCTGTGTGCGTGTTTGGGAAGGGAGCTCGGCAATTCGTAGCTGCGCACTAACTGAC